ATTTTCTTCTTGCAAGGAGGACACGGCCTTTGGTAAACCTGTTCCGCTCTTGCAGAAAACTCATTCTCATCAAACTCATGGAACGAAAGAAAACTCCTGAACATTTCTGCAGGGAAAAAAACTATGCTGTACTGAAACAGAAAGCAAGTGTGCTTTAAATATCTAGGACAGGCAAATGACCTTCAGTAAGAACTAATTGTATTTTTAAAAGAGTAAAACTCTGATCAGTGCTCAGAATGGAGGACAAAAAAAATGAACAGATTGGGAGTGGAGAAATTGGGTACATAAAGCAAAATGAAGGAAAATGATTAATTTTAAGAATTAACAGGAAGTTATTTAAGACCCTTTACCTTGCTTGTCATTCACTTGAGATCATGAATCAGTGACCCACACATATCAATCTTCACCTCATATCCTTTCGATTGCTCTACCCAAAAATGTTACCAAACTCCTACTTTTAAAAATTAACTGATCTAACTTTAACTGACAATTGGGAAAGAATTGTAAACTTCTGCCATCCTTTGCATGTGACAATTTCCTAATTTCATTCCTGAGATGGTCTAGCTGCAGATTTTGGACCATGTTTCCCTAGTCCCAATCTCCAACTACTGCAAACAGCTTCTCTTCGCATTTGCTATCTACTCCCTTTAAAACATCTTTCAAAAAAAAACTTTGCCAAAATTATGCAATGTTTGAAATTCCAGAGAACACAATCTTAGTTTATGTAGCCATTCCTCAAATTTAACCCCCATAGTCCAGGAGTCATTCCACCAAATTGATAAGAGAGTCCATAGTTTTGAGATCCTAGAAAATACTGAATTAGAACAGGACAAATTGAATGCATTAACAGAATTAAGGAACTGCCAAAAATTTTTCAGAATCTGCAAATACTGTGGTCAGAAAGGTTGCATGCAGTGCTATTAATCAAATGAGATGTGAGACAATGATCTTAGTCATAAAGTCAGACAGCACAGAAACAGACCTTTCGGTGCAACCAGTCCATGCAGACCATAATCCCAAACTAAACTAGTCTCACCTGCCTGCGCTTAGTCCATATTCTTCCAAATATTTCTCATTATTGTACTTATCCAAATGTCTATTAATCGTTGTAAATGTACCTGCATCTACCACTTTCTCTGGAAGTTCATACCACAGACAAACCACTCTTAAAAAAATGTTGCCATGTCTTTTTTAAATCTTTCTCCTCTCTTTAAAAATATGTCCCCGTCTTCATATCCTCAAACCGAGGGAAAAGACACCTGCCATTCACCTTATCTATACTCAATTTTATATGCCTCAACCTCCTACACTTCAGTGAATAAAGCACCAGCCTATCTAGCTTCCCTTATAACTCAAACATCCACCATTCCCGGCAATATCCTGGTAAATCTATTCTGAATCCTCTCCAGCTTAATAACATCCTTCCTATAACAGGGCAACCAGAACTGGACACAGTGCTCCAGATGAGGCCTCACCAAATTCCTGTACATCCTCAATATGACGTCCCAACTCCCATACTCAAAAGGTCTGTGTGCTAAATGCCTTCTTAATCCATCTTGTGGAACAGAGTTCTTCTACTGCCCGGGGCAATATTCTTCCTTGAATTGAAAGAAGCAAAACAATTTGAAGCATATTTTTGCTGTTGACGTTTACTCATACGACAGAGACTGCACTCAAAAGCAACTTACTGACATGTCAGGCTTTAGGCCAGCCAGCAGAAGTGATGGTTTTTCCTAAAATAAAGAGTCATTCATAAAACTCCATTGAATTGCCCCACTATAGCAGAAGCTTTACCAAGAATTTGTCAACCAGCAAACTAGAGGCTGATTCATTTTGGAAGGTGGAATTCGAATGCAGAATACAGGGCTAACGGCAGGATTCTCGGCAGTGTGGAGGAACAGAGGGATCTTGGGGTCCACGTCCATAGATCCCTCAAAGTTGCTACCCAAGTTGATAGGGTTGTAAAGAAGGCGTACGGTGTGTTGGCTTTCATTGGCAGGGGAATTGAGTTTAAGAGTCATGAAGTTATGCTGCAGCTCTATAAAACTCTGGTTAGACCACACTTGGAATATTGTGTTCAGTTCTGGTCACCTCATTATAGGAAGGATGTGGAAGCTTTAGAGAGGGTGCAGAGGAGATTTACCAGGATGCTGCCTGGACTGGAGGGCAGGTCTTATGAGGAAAGGTTGAGGGAGCTAGGGCTTTTCTCATTGGAGCGAAGAAGGATGAGAGGTGACTTGATAGAGGTGTACAAGATGATCAGAGGCATAGATAGAATGGATAGCCAGAGATTTTTTCCCAGGGTGGAAATGACTATTACGAGGGGCATAATTTTAAGATGATTGGAGGAAGGTATAGGGGAGATGTCAGAGGTAGGTTCTTCACACAGAGAGTGGTGGGTGTGTGGAATGCGCTGCCGGCGGCGGTAGTAGGGTCAGATACATTAGAGACTTCTAAGTGACTCTTGGATAGGCACATGGATGATAGTAAAATGTAAGGTGTGCAGGGTAATTTGATCTTAGAGTAGGATAATAGGTCGGCACAACATCGTGGGTCGAAGGGCCTGTACTGTGCTGTACTGTTCTATGTTCTTCCATGTTATAATGTGCTGTAGGTCAGCCCGTGATGCCCTCATACCACAAGTGAATTAAAAAAAGTAAGATAAAGGAAAATCCTTAGTTATTTTACAGGTACCTGATAACTTGGGAAAGAGTAAGACCCATTAAGTACTACAGTGGTTATCTCTGCATGTAGCCAGAAGATATAGTTTGAGTTCTAAATGAATACTTTCTATCATTTTTCAATGGGAGGGACAATGTGGGTATAGAAATCAGGGAAAAGATCTGTGACATGATTAAACAAAGTAGCATAGACAAACAGGAGGTTCTGAGTGGTCTGGCAGACTTCAAAGTTGATAAACCTTCAAGGCCAGATGAAATGTGTCCCAGATTGTTGGGTAAGTCAAAGGAGCAAATAACAGGAGCGCTGGCAATAATTTTCAAATCCTCTATCACCACAGGAGAGCTACCAGAGGACTTCAGGACAGCCAGTGTGTTACCATTATTCAAAAAAGGAGCAAGAGATAAACCAGAAACTACAGGCTGGTCAGTCTGACCTCAGTGGTATAATTCTGAGAAACAATTATTCTGCACTTTGAGAGACAGGGATTGTTCTAGAACAGTCATTATACCTTAATTAAGGGGAGGTTATTTCTGACCAACTTGATTGAATGTTTTGAATGCGTAACCAGGTGTATAAGTGAGGGCAATGCATTTGACACAGTCTACTTAGACTTCAGCAAATCTTTTGATATGCTCCCTGATGGGAAGCCTGTATCCAACAGGGTCCCACAGGAACCAATTTGTGCCTGTTGCTGTTTATGGTATATATAAACTACTTGGAATTGAATGTAGGATGGTTGATCAGTAAGTTCATGGATGATATGAACAATGGTAGTGTGGTATATAGTGAGAGGATAGCCTTAGATTACAGGTGGGTATAGAAAGGCTGGTCAGATGGGCTGATCAGTGACAAATGGAATTCAATCCAAATGAATGTGAGCAGATACACTTGGGCAGGACAAAACAAGGCCAGGGGATACATGATGAACAGTAGGATCCTGGGAAGCACCAAGGATCAGAGGGACATTGGTGTGCGTGTAATCTGGTCCTTTAAGGTAATGAAAGAGTTAGATAAACTTTATTAGTGAGACATAGAGTTTAAGAGATGATTTACCCAGATGTTTCCTTGGCCATAGAGTTTTTGTTATGAAGAGAGAGTGGACAGTCTAGGATTGTTTTCCTCAGAGCAGAGGGGGTTGAATATGACTGAGGCACATAACTGGGTAGACAAGAAGGAAAGCTTCCCTTTGGTAGAGGATTCAATGACCAAGGAAAAGTTTAAGGTGAGGTGTAGGAGGTTGAGAGAGGATGTGAGGGATTTTTTCTTCACCCAGAGAGTGGTGGGAATCTCAAACTCACTGTCTAAAAAGATGATAGAGACAGGAAGATGCATAACTTTGAAGTAGTATTTAGCGGAGTAGTTAGGTAATTGTTTTTGACCAGTATAGACTCAATGGGCTGAAGGATATTTTTCTTTGTTGTAGATCTTTATGACGATGATTGTCTGGTCAAGGTGCATAGATAATGAGGGGCAGGGACAGGGTGAATAGAAAGCAACTGTTCCCCAGAGTTGAAGGGTCAATGATAAGAGGGCATAACTTTAAGATGAAATGCAGGAGATTCAGAGGGAATTTGAGGAAAACATTTTTCACCTAGACTGTAGTGTAAGCCTGGAATTCACTGCTTGGAAGCTTGGTCGAGGTGGGAAACCGTACAATCTTTAAAAGGTACTTAGATGAGCACTTGAAGTGTGATAACATTCAGGGATATGGATAAAGTACTGAGAAATGGGACTAGTATAGATTGAGTTTTTTGTCATTGCAGACTTGCAGGACCAAACGGGCCTTTTCTGTCCTGTATGATTTGATGATTTTATCATTTCCCTACTTAGGCCCTCTGTTCCATTAGACCCTGCGTACCCCCATATTTTTCGGATGAGCCTGGATCCATGTGGTTGCAGATGAGATTTCCTCTCTTCCTATCCTCTGTATAAAGTCATGCTCATCAAATTCTGTAGCTGCTCATTCATGACTACAAATGACTGAAGCCATGTAGAAGCTCTTTCTCCAGTTAAACTGCAATGACTAGCATTCATACAGTGACTCTAACGTTGGTAAATAACCCAAGCAGTTTATTATACTAATAAACATATTACAAATTAATCTAAAAAAGTAATATTGTCTTTGCAGAAAATGTAAAGGTTTTTCCTAAAAAATTGTTGCTAAAAGATGTACGGTTATCATTATCCAATAAAACCCTTATTGTGTCCTTTCTAGCCACAGAATTCCACAAAAGTGATATCACATTATGTGGACAACATTACATCCTTGAGAACCTCCCTCTATTCCTGCCTCTCAGGATATCCCATTTCATTCTGACCTGCTCATTTTTGTAGAGCCACAAGATGTCAGTATAGAGCGCAGCGTACACTTTTGATTTGCATCCCTTCATCTCCAAGCAACTGTATTTCTGGCAGAAAGCCATTGATCCAACCCGACGAGAGGAGGAGAAATGATATTCCTTGACAGCATTCTGCAAGTGTGTACACCACTCATTTCTCTGCACTGAAATACATAAAGACAGACATAATCACAACAACATTTTCTATTCATATACCACTTTTCATGCAACAAAAAATCCCAAGCTAATGGACAGAAGTTTTATAAATAAAGTCTGAAACCAATCACATAGCGAGATATTAAGTCAGGTGACCAAACGTTGATTCAAAGGAGTGTCTTAAAGGAGGAAAGTGAGGTAGAGAGGTGAACAGCAGTAGGAAGACCTTTTTATTTATGTACTTATTTATTTTTATTCAATGATATTCTTTGAGGTTGGTTGGCTCGCCAAGCTGGTTTGTTGTTCCGCAGACGTTTCGTTACCATGCTTGGTAACATCCTCAGTGCAGCCTCCGATGAAGTGTCGGTGTGTTTTCCCGCCTGGTTTTTAAACTCTGGGGTCCGTTGAGATGGATTGCCTCACTTCCGGTTTTCCTTCATAGTGGAATGTATATGGGGTCGAGTTCAATGTGTTTGTTAATAGTATGCTTCGTGGAGTGCCATGCTTCCAGGAATTCTCGTGCTTGTCTCTGCCTAGTCTGTCCCAGGATCTTGGTGTTGTCCCAGTCGAAGCCGTGGTTCTCCTTGTCCATGTGGATTGAGATGAGTGAGTATTGGTCGTGTCTTTTTGTAGCCAGTTGGTGTTCATGTACTCTTGTTGTTAGTTTCCTTCCTGTTTGTCCGATATAGTGTTTCTCGCAGTCTCTGCAGGGGATCTTGTAGGTGACATTGGTCCTGTCCGTGGTGGGCAGTGGGTCTTTAGTTCGGGTGAGCAGTTGTCATAGGGTTGACGTGGGCTTGTGTGCCACTCTGATGCCCAGCGGCTGTAGGAGTCTTGCGGTCACTCATCTCAATCCACATGGACAAGGAGAACGATGACTTTAACTGGGACAACACCAAGATCCTGGGACAGGCTAGGCAGAGACAAGCATGAGAATTCCTGGAAGCATGGCACTCCACGAAGCATGCTATTAATAAACACATTGAACTCGACCCCATATACATTCCACTACAAAGGAAACCCGGAAGTGAGGCAATCCATCTCAACGGACCCCAGAGTTTAAAAACCAGGCGGGAAAACACACCTGGGTGTTACCCAGCATGGTAATGAAACGTCTGCGAAACAAGAAACCAGCTCGGCGAGCCAACCAACCTCAACACCCACAACCCAAGCTACAGATCTACTCCAAAATCTTAATGATATTCTATTATTCAATAGGCAATATTTATTGTAACCTTCATGTTTCAGATGTTCTTTGACCATCTTTCCTTGGAAAGGAATTTTAAAACAATGCCTCAAACTTTGATGGGTGTCCCATTAGTCTTCTGGGTGAACTTACGATGACACAGATGTCATATTTAAAGAGGGTAAGTTACCAAAGATACTAAAAGATGTTCTATTGAGTTTCTTTAGTGAATTTCTACAGTGCATCTTGTAGATAGTGCACATGGCTGTGATTAAGTGTTGCTGGTGAAGGGAGTTTACACTTTGGGTAGATGAGGGCATGACCACCAACGATGCTGCAGTTAAAATCAGGGATGCATAACAGACGGAATGAGAGAACTGCAGAGAGGATTGTGGACAAAATTACACAATCATTTGGGTAATCCTGGCACACAACACAGTGAAATTAAATTATTTAATATCACTCAAAATTGCCTAAATGTTTCTGACCAAACTTTATGAACACAGATCTTGACCACCAAGTTTATAACTCAAACAAAAAGAAACAATTTATTGCTCATACAAAATTACAAATACACAGCACAGGAATATAGATGGACAAATTAAAAGTTAAGATTCCCTGAGACACCCTGCACATGAATACTCAATTTTGATTATAAGTGAACTCAGCTGGGTGTCATCCGTCAGATCTTTGCTTAAGAAGGATGAACTAGCCACTTTTCTTAATCCAAATACTCCCTCATTTGGTCATAACAAGGTTAATTTAAGAAGATTCCCTTCTGGTGAATATCTTTTCTGAAATCTATTTATATTTTACGAGGAGCTAAATTAACCAAGAAATCTGGAAACATGAAAGTTTATTAGCAACTAAATATGGGAAAAGATAATAGAACACAATATGTGTGCACAAGGTGGAAATGTAAATTGACCAAAAAATAATGGTTTAAAGATAGAAAAAAACAATTGTCCCTTGGTTCTGTGAAGAGTTGATGGTGGAATATTATAGCTGTGAACACACATTTATAACAAAACTGTTGATTTTATGCTTCTTATCTTCGTAAGCTAACTGCCAATCTTTCATCCTGTTTCCTTTCTGACAGTGACTTCACTGTCTTCTCTGACTGTCAGCACTCAAAACACGTGAGATTGCCTTTCATTACCTGCAGTACAGGGATGTCTAATGCTACTTTCAAGGGGAGACCTTCACAATAAATTAGCAACTCACTCCACCAACAAAGGCACACTTCCCAACACTTTTTGTATTTTCCTGGAAGAGTAAAACACAAACATGTTATGGCTTCATGAGCCTTTAATTTGGACATAAACTAGAGAAGATTGCTTTCTGCTGAGAACAAGGGATGGAGGTAATATTCCCGTTATATCTCTGCAATCACAAGGAACCACAGTCCACATTGTTTTGAATTGCACCTATCCCTACAAAGAGTTGCTGTTTGAAGTTTCCTTGGCAGATTTTCAGCTGTGGTATCTGTAGAAATTGTCACTATTTTTCGTTCATTTTCTGAATTTCTTTTGATGGAGTGAGGTGTTTGAGTTGGGGTTGAACTTTGAACAGCTGTATGTTTTAAAAGTGAAGAACACAGATGTTTGCTATTTGAAACACTGTAGATGATTCAGCAGTGAATGCTGCTAAGCCCAGGACTGGAAGCTGGTTGGATATTGAATTGGTTAATCAAGGGAGGGTTGATGCTCATCAGCCAACTGCAGAGAATAATGATTTAGCAAAAAGACAATAAAGAAAACTGGTTTTAGCAGATGCAGGGTGATTTTTGAAGCTTTGGGATTGGCTGCTGATTTTTACTCTCTCACTCTCTCTCTCATTTCATATCCAGTTAAAGAATTGTTGAATGTTCTGAGAAAAGAATCCGTCCTTCAGAAATAAGTGAATAATTCTGCAAGTAGACTTAGATTTACAGTTCAACAGCTGGGAACAACTCATTAGCAAAGGATTGCATGAAGTCTTGGCAATAACATAATTTGAAACTGTTTACTTGAACTGTCAAATTGCAATTCTTTTTTTTTTAAATTCATCCCTTTGCTGTGTCTGCCTAGCTGTGAATGGGGTTACGATCAAAGGAAATTGGGTTTAAATCATAGATACTAATTAGATTACCTTGTTTAACTTGTCTTACTAAAATTAAAGTATGAACAATAAATTGTTGCTTTTTGTTTGAGTTATAAACTTGGTGGTCAAGGTCTGTGTTCATAAAGTTTAGTCAGAAACATTTAGGTAATTTTGAGTGGTATTAAATAATTTAATTTCACTGCGTTGTGTGCCAGGATTACCCAAATGATTGGGATAAAGGCATCCCATTTATATTGCTTTGCTATTGGAGATGCTCCAAGTGAATCGACTCAGTTTACTCCATTTGAATTGATATTCGGAAAAGAAGTAAGAAGGCCTTTAAAATTAATTAAGGAAAAGCTGATAGGTCCGAAATCAAGATCTCACAGTTGGTTATGTATCTGAGGTGAGAGAAAGATTAAAAAGAGTTGATGAATTAACTAGACAACATATGAAAGTGGCACAGCACCTAATGAAGCAAGAAGCAGATAAGAAATCTAAAATTTGTACATTTACCCATAAATAAAAATGTTTCTCTATCTTAGCCTGAGTCTTCCTCACTCCTAAATGACCTCCGACAGGTAATTCATGTGCCCCTTGCAATAATCCCTCTTTGTATTCTATTAGCAACACAATCAGGTGAACTTTCAGAGATAGTAGGAACTGTAGATGGTGGAGAATCTGAGAAAACAAGGTGTAGAGCTGGATGAACACAGCAGGCCAAGCAGCATCAGAGATCCTGCTCCTCTGATGCTGCTTGGCCTGCTGTGTTCATTCAGCTCTACATCTTGTTATCTCTGGTGAACTTTCACCCATTTCTCATCTGCACTAACCTGCCAAGGTCTCCATTTCCGCCTTAAGACTTTATCCTTAAGATAACAGCACTCTGGAACACATTCTAATTCCTTTTCCAAGAAGGCTTTATGATATAAATTCTTTATGGTCTCATCTTTTTTGTTGTAACTCCATCAATCTTTCAGAACTAAACACCTCTGTCTGATCTAACCTGCTTCGGTTTTTCATCAGAGTGTCAGCTAACTGGGCTTCAACTCCTTCATCTTTCTCTTTTAATTTCTCTTCTTGCTTTAACTTATAGCTGTGAGATCTTGTCACTACACAGTTTGGAAATATTCCAGGGTTGTTTTCTTTCAACTCCTCAGTTCCCTGGCTTTCTTTTGTCTTTTCCACTACAATGGGTATCACTCCGATCTGTGATCCAGTTACGTCGTTTCCAAGAATAAACCGTATTCCTGGAATAGCCAATTTTTCCTCACTGCCACTATCACTTCCCTAATCTTGATTGGACTCTCTAGCCTTATTTTACACAGGGGAACATTACTCCTCCCTCCAACTATTCCACAGATTACCACTCTTTCGGGCAATAGTTCAGGGGTACAAATATTTTCCTCCCTTACTATTAGAGAAAGACGAGCTCCCATATCTCTCAATATTTTAACATCTTTACCTACTCCCCTTGTCCTACCTGAGTAAATCTTACTCACACAGGTGAAGACTTTGAAAAGATTGGGCGCTATCTTACTATCTAGCCCGTGAGTAGGCTGTGCACTCTCCTGCAGCTCCTTGACTTCTCTTGGGATTTCCTCCACTACCTCAACCAATCCCACTGGTTTCGCCTATTTTACCACATCCTTTTTCCCAGTGCCTTTCCTAAACCACCAGCACTGTGACTTTGTGTGTCCTACCTTATTGCAGTGAAAACACCCGAGGTCTTTCATCTCT